ATATTTTCTTATTGTTGTAATGTTGTGGTCCCTACATGTTTGAATAATATTGTGTTCTTGTGGACCACAAGGATTTGATAAATTATACTGACTTTATGACTGTTTATGTGTATATGTGTGATATGCTTGTAACTATAAATATTCTGAATATTGTACTGTTGCGGGCCCTACATGTTTGCATGTTGAATATTGTAATAATATTGGATCATTTGTTAATATGATAAAGTGTATATGTGTGTTATGGGTCCTACTATGTTGAATATCAATTCAAAAATCTTGTTACAGGTCGTGAAGATGAAAAAATTTCTGTTGTGTGTCACTACGGTGGATCATTTGTACATTCACCTAGAATGAAGTTTACTGGTAACAAGATTGCTTATTTTGACTTGTGTGATTGTGACACAATCTCTTTGCTTGACTTTTGTGAAATGATGGAGCAAATATTAGTCCCTACTCCTTTACAATTATTCTGGTTACTGCCAAATGCAAAATTAACTGAGTCTTCCATCATGCCTTTAGGAACTGATTCTGATGTAATGAAAATGGTACAGAGTTTACCTAGGAATAGATATATTCACATCTATGCACAAGTTAAGGGTATAACTGAAAGTGGTTGTTATGAAAGTGATGGTGTAGAAGTGGATAATGCTGAAAGTGGTGGTGTAGAAATGGATAATGCTGAAAGTGGTGGTGCATAAATGGATACTGCTGAAATGGGTAGTGTAGAAAGGGACAATGCTGAAATGGGTAGTGTTGAAAGGGACAATGCTGAAAGTGGTGGTGTATAAATGGATACTGCTGAAATGGGTAGTGTAGAAAGGGACAATGCTGAAAGTGGTGGTGTAGAAATGGATACTGCTGAAATGGGTAGTGTAGAAATGGACAATGCTGAAATGGGTAGTGTTGAAAGGGACAATGTTGAAAGTGTTGGTGTAGAAATAGATAATGCTGAAATGAGTAATGTTGAAAGGGACAATAAGAAAGACAAGTCTAGTAATGAAGGTGTTAGAGGGACAGAAGCTGATTTTGAAGAAGTTGTGGTAGAAGATGAAAACAATGGATCTAATGAATCAGATTCTGATTTTCAGGAAACTGATGGTGAAAATTCTTTTGATGATGAGGAGTGTTTACCTAGTATGGTAGAGGAGGATGTGATAAATATTTTAGGGGACATGGGTAGCATGAGTTTAACAATAGATCTGATGAAATGTTTGACTCTAGTCCTGTTAATTCAGGGGAATTAAACAGTGATAGAGATTCTGACTCAGATGCCCGTCCTACCTTCCCTGAGTTCAACAAAGAGATTGATATGTAGAACCCTAAATTTCAAAAGGGTATGTTGTTTTGTAGTAAAGAGACTTTAAAGGAGGCAATTAGGCAATATGGGAGGGTGAATAGAACTGTTGTCTTTTTAAGGTTAATGACAACAAGAGATTACAAGAAATTTGTAGGGAGGGTTCTCCATGGAAATTATGGGCTTCCCCATTGCATTCACATGATTCTGATTCGATCACTTGGCAGATTAAGACTTACGAGTCCGAACACACTTGTGATAAGTTGTTGAAAAATAAGAATGTCAGTTATAGGTTCATCGGGATGAAATATATTTAGAAATTCATGTCTGATATGAATTATTATTTGACTTCCCTCAAACAAGATGTGATGACTAACTATGGGACAGTTTGTTCTTTGACTAAATGTGGAAGAGCTAGAGAGCATGCCTTAGAAATTATTCAAGGTAAATTGAAAGAACAATATGGAAAGATCTACGAATATTTACTTGAATTAAGGAATACAAATGTTGGAACTACAACTGTTTGCAAACTAGATAATAGACTATTTCAAAGAATGTATGTTTGTCTTCAAGCTTGCAAATAGGGGTTCAAAGCAGGTTGTAGAAGGATTATCAGCCTTGATGGATGCTTCTTGAAGGGTTATTATGTTGGTTACTTACTAACAGCAGTTGGTACCGATGCTAATGGTGGAATCTATCCCATAGCATATGCTGTTGAGGAGAGTGAGAATCGGTATTCATGGTTATGGTTTCTGGAAATTCTTGGAAGAGACTTGGACATAGACAACTCATATGGATGGTGTTTTATGTCTGATAGAAAAAAGGTTATGTTCTTAACTTTTGCATTTATTATAAATTAGTAAGCCTATTATCATAATTATTTATTAAGTTATCCTTGTAGGGGCTATTCCCTAATGCTGAAGCCAGGAATTATGTAAGGCATATTTATGCCAACTTCAAAAAAGATCACAAAGGAAAAGCTCTTAAGGATGCACTGTGGAGAGCTGCTAGAGCAACTTATGGTAGAGAATTCCAAGATGCCATAACAGAATTGAAGACTTTGTCTAATGATGTATTTGAGTGGCTAAAGCATCTTAACCCTCAACAGTGGTCCAAAGCACACTTCTCCACCACTACTAAATCTAACATGCTTCTCAATAACCTTTGTGAATGTTCTAACAAGGTAATCTTATTATAATATTGTTTATATATATATTATTTTTCTATAACTCTTAACAAATTATATATTGTGCAGGTCATTTTGGAAGCTAGAGACAAGCCCATCCTTACTATGATGGAGCTAATTAGAACCAAAATTATGAGAAGAATTGTTTGCATATATGAAGCAGCTAAAAAGATTAATGGGCCATTATGTCCAAATATTCAGAAGAAGTTGAACATTATAATTGATCAAGCAACTAGGTAAATCTTTTCAAATTTAATATTTCGTTGAGATATGCTGACATATGCTAGCAAATATGTTAAGATATGTTGTTGAAATATGTTGAGATATGTTGAAGTATATTGAGACCATTTGAGATGTGCATACCATTATGAATGTTTAAATATTCTGTCGAAATATGTTGTTTTATTGATATATGCAGGTGTTGGGCTACACATGCTGGAGGGTTTAAATATCAGGTTGAATATGGTCCAGGAAACCAACATGCGGTGGACATGGGCTCCCACTCTTGTTCTTGTAGAAAATGGGACCTGACAGGCATCCCATGTATCCATGCAGTAGCAGTCATGCAACTGCACAATGATCGACCTGAACCTTATGTTCATACATGCTACCACAAATCCACATAGCTTGCAATATATTCTAATTTCATTTGTCCTGTCAAAGGTGAACTACTCAACTATTTACATATACCTAAATAATTTATGTCATGCTAATATTCTAAATTATTTGTTCTTTGTTAATAGGTGCTAAGCAATGGACTCATGTCACTGAAATGGAGCCTATTCTGCCTCTAGAATTGAGAAGACCGCCTGGAAGGCCAACCAAAAAAAGGAGAAAGGAAGCTGATGAAGGAAATAAGAATGGACCTAAATTAAGCAAGAAAGGTTCGATGGGAAACTGCTCTAAGTGTGGTAAACTTGGCCACAATAAGAGGACATGTAGAGGAGAAGTTGGCGGTAACAAGAGTCTAAACCAACATGAATCAGGATCCAGCCAACCACATGCACCTGACCAGCCATCCCAACACTCAACTCCAATGCAACGACAAGCTCGAACCATCCAACCTACAAGGCAGCAAGTATTAAGGCCAAAATTACCTAAAATGAGGCCACTTAATCCACCTACAACAGTCCGTTGGATGATGCCACCATCTACAACAAACCATGCAATGTCTGGCAGTCAAGAATCTTCTGTTTCTAACCCTCACAATCAAGATTTGCACACAACATCAAAAGAATGAAATGGGTAGTGTTGATGGAACTTTTTGTGTAGTTTACCTAGAAACTTGACTTACTTTGTCATATACCTGCTTCTGTTTGATTGGCTTTGATGCATAGACATTCTTTTTGTAAAGCTTACTTATGAACTATCCATATTTTGACATGAATTAAACTTTAGGCTTAATGTCATATTAAATTAGAGCAGGTTTGACAAATTATTGTTCTTACTTGTATTTTGACTTGTATCAGTTTACTGATAATGAAATACATCATATTTTGACATTTCTTTTTAATATTCATTTTTTAATTATTCTTGCAATTCAATGCAAAATGAAGAAAAATTAAATGCACAATGCAAAAAATCAAAGTTTATAGACATACAAAGGAAGAAAAACCATTGCAAAATAATAGAACCATAAAATTAATCTGGAAACACATACAAACTTCCATTACAAAAACTTCCATTACAAAGCTTTTATTTTAATCCACCATTCAAATAACATCATTTTCATTTGCTAACCCACAGCTTATAAACACATAAAATCAAGATAACAAGCTAAAAAATCCTCTCATTTCTCCTTTCCCTTTCGACTTTTCTTAATTTCTTCAACAACCCTAAGCATACAAATCTTGCCCGAGGCACCATGGGAGGATCCATCCAAACAAAAAAAATGACATTTTGTACTCATCTTTTTCCCATAGTTTCGGCAACCAAAAAAACTCCTCACACAATTTTCATTCGTCCAAGCCATCACCACCTTAGCTGGTTGTCCACAATTACAAAGAGAAACTTCAATAGAGTCTTCCATCTTCACCTTAGCTAGCTTTCATCTTGGGTAGGATTTGAGAAAAATTTCAACAAAGAAAAATATGAAGGAAAAGAGGTAGATTAAGGTTAGGGATTGGTTTTATTTAAATAAGAGAAAAAAATGAACGTTAGAGTACTGCTCTCTTCCACCATGGCATTCCAGGTAAGCATCTAACGTTCCACGTATGTTTTCCGTGACGGCTCCTAACGGCTGTTAACGGCCAGTGACCATTTTGTGACAAACGATAACGTTAGTAACCAATTTATAACTTTTTAAACATTAGTGGTGAAAACAAAAACTTACCCAAACATCAATGACCATTGGTGTAGTTTACCCTAACTTTAAAGAAGTGATCTATTTATAACTGAATCAATAATTGAATAGTCTAATGTATTTTAATCAAAATAAAATTGTTGCATCAAATATGCCCCAAATTTCTGATTTTAAAGCTTTTAGAAAGAAAAATAAAACACGCGCACATATCCATCAAGTTTTTCTCAAGGGGTATGATAATTTCCAGGAATAACACTGAAAACATTTGAAGTTGAGTATGTCTACAAGGTTTAGGAATAAAACTCATCAGAATTGTTGCTCACACTAAAAGCTTATACCAGGCAAATCGACTACATAGGACTTAGGAGGGCCGTGTTAGTACACATCACATCAAATTCATCACTAAATTATCGAAACAATTGCATCTACTTCTGACAATAAATTAAACGGTGATCGATCATGAACAATGTTCTCACTTGTCTTGATTCATGTACATAAAAAATTAAAGGGTGAAAGAGGGGGGGTACCGATTGATGTCGAAAATGGATAAAGTTTCAGCATATCATCATCCAAGTTACAACTCGTTGCTCATCTGGCGAAGACCGGAATAAACAGCTTTCCGCAAAAGAGGATGGACATCTTCAGTGAACACCTCCGCATCCAACTTCTCGATGTGAGGCCATATCTGCCAAAAATGCAGATTGGTAGAAAATGCAGGAGAAGAAACATGAGAAACAAATTATCCGACATGATTTGGTTTTCATGGGCATTGATATATACACACATATATAATGTGTATTATTTCGATATTTTGGAATTATCATTTCTTGATATACAGGTGATATCCAAATCCATTTATAAATACACGTTTTGTTAATTAAATGTGATTTTAGATTCAGTTAATATTCCGAAAAGTACTGAAGCAGCCATAGAAGAACAAATTTGGTGATAAAGTCGGAGAACACCACAAGATCATCAAGGCAATGCAATTCCCAAAGAGCTCAATATGCGTTACTAACCTCAGATGCATATTGCCTTGAGAAAGCCTTGACATAGCCCAGAGTAGATAAACACCATTGTTCTTTTTCCTTTACATTGCAAGTATTTGACGCTTTACCTCCATTTGACTGACTGCAACATAGAAATGAAAAATAATTAATTCACTGTTACTTTTTATAAAGATAAATAAAAACAATGGGGCAGGGCAGTGCCGGATCTTAGCAATAACAGTGAAAGGTTGGGGAGTTGGGACCTCTTCTTAGGTATTCCATTCTCATCATCCACCTCCATAGTCGATGATTCTTCAAGATCAACAGCCATTGAATCTCCATGGATAGACTTTAATGATTGCAATGTAACATCGCTGGATGCATCAGGCAAATGTTCCATCAATACAGTACAGAAATTTTTGTATAGAGAAAGGAACAGAACCTACACATATGAATCGCACAGAAAAGTAGAATAAGGTAATTGGAGGATAAACTGTGTTAATAGAAAGTTAATCAGATAGTTTAAGCTTACAGACCAAGAAAGACGGGGGGAGTAAAACTTAAGAAAGGATTGTGGAAAATAAGGAGAGAACGCATTCAAACAAGCAAATACAAGAGTCATGATAGATACTCTTGAGGTTGTAATTTTTTCTTTGGATATAATATAAACATTTTATCCAAAAAAAAACGTCACAAAAGAGGAGAATACTTGTGCATGATCCACAGTTCACAAAAATGGAAACTAAAATAGAACTACCACGCATTTTGAGTGCTTCCATAATCACTAGTACAAAAGTATTTAAAAGCAACGGAGACATTCAATGCAGACCAATATATACTAGTTAAAAGGGATATTTGGTACTACTGGTCTATTCATCAATCATATAAGATTGTTCAATTAGACACTCCAGAACAATTTGTGAAGATCTCAACCACAAGGATAGTCTTCACACAAATTTGCAAAGCTATTGAACAACATATCATGCCAGTTGAATCTAGTACCTCATTTTCATCTAGTGCTCGAGCAAGAAGAGCCTCTTTGGCCTCTAAAGAGTCATGCATGGATTCTTCCTCTTCCTTAGCCTTTTCAGCCACAGATTTTAAATGCTTTAACTTCGCAGGGTTTTCGCCAAGAACAGGTTCACCTTCCACTAGAGAAAGCTTTGACTCAGCAGCCTCTAAATCGGCTTTCGCCTTAGATGCAGCTTCTTCTGCAGATATAACACCTTTCTTCAGAGATGAAATCTCTTTCCTTAGATCAGTGATACGATTGTATGTTTTACTAACTGCATTCCTGAGAACCTGTAGAATTGAAGAAGTATTTGAAATGGAAATAAATTTTGAAGACACAATTAACATGAACCGCATAACCACACAGACATGATTAATTCTCCAAAGAGAATACATGATAGATGAATGCACAAGCAGTTACAGAGTTCAAAATTCAAAATACGAAAGAGAAACAAGGGGAAGGGGAGTATTTCTGGCTCTTTTCCAGCGAAGCAAAGGACCAATTGTTTCAATTTTAGATCAAAGCTTTCCACCAGTGGTTTCTTGTTTCTTATTTTCTTAAATTAATTCCTTGGAATTCAAATCCCACCCAAAAAATCAGTATATAGTGAGTTTCCATCTTTTCAAGAAGATTCGGGTGACTTGGCACTTTTAGTTGTAAACTTGTATCTAAATTTATAGTATTCAATCTAACCATATATTAAATAAGTATGCAGTAAGGAAACTACTAAACACACATGCTATTGTTTGTGGGAAGGACAGGGTTGGGGAGGGGGACTAAGCTGAATTTGTTGATATACCTCCCATGGACAATCGGATAAATGAAATTGCTCAATGTTTTCAGGAGAGAAGACCCATCTCACAATGGCCAAGTTTGATACGAGACGACAACTCATCATCCTATCAATTGTTATAGCTGTCATTTGTGCATTGTTCTTCCAATATGAACCGACCTCAGCTATGAGCATGACCTGCTTATCCTGATCAGAGCAAAGTTTTGCCATGACCTGTCCATACCTCTCCAAGATGGTGATCAGATGAGTGAAACTTTTAGATCCAATGTCAAGAAGAGTTTGTACAACCACACTGAGGGTAACTTCCAGGCCATGAATAGGATATATACTTTCCTCGATCCATACAATTATCTCACGTGCTGACTGCCTTCCTTTCACCTTGTTGCTAAGCTCTGCAGATAGTGCCTGCTCTTGTTCGGTTTTTCCTTGACCATCAACTCCACTATACTTAAAATTTGGACCACCCTTGGGTGGTAGCAACTCTTCAAGAGCAGGTGCATTCTCAATGCTCTGGATTAACAAGTTTTATAAAAAGAGAAATGTTAACAAGATGTAGCAACAAGCCAAGGTTAGTATATTAAGATAATGTTTAATACAAATCAATACAACACAGTCCCAACTCCCAACTAAGGAAGGTTAATAATGATTTTAACCATTACTCGTTGCCCCAACCAAAACGTACATCCTTTCTGTCACGTCTTTGTACCTGCTTTATTTTATCCCAATATGACAAACGAACTTCTCTTTCCAAAACCTCTTGAACAAATACACGCTGTGGAGCCCACCTTGGGAGGTCCAGAACATAAGCCCATTCATCCCACGGCCAAATAAATTGGAAATTTGATCTGTGTAGCCAAGAATTATTACTACATGCAAAGAAATACACTGAAAAAACCTTAAAGCAACATCCTGAAAGAAAGAGCAAGTGGTCTAGTAGGTGAACTGGACATATAGCCAAATCATCAGACATAAATTGGATGCAATATCAAATAAGCCAAGAATCATATCATCAAGCATAAAAGAAAAAAAACAGGAATATTTATTGTTAAAAGATAGCAGAACTTAATGCGAGACTCACAGATGGTGTGAAAACCAGAGGATAAGGCGCGTTCGACACTCCATGTCTAAATCAGCAATTTTATCAAAAAGAGCACGAACTGCACCAGCTACAACTGCAGGAAAGGCCCCAGGAAGAGCCTAATCATCAAACTACAACATTAGACACTTTATTTAAGGGCCAAAAACTTTATATATATAAAGACGGTAAAAAGCAAACGGTAATTGCTTCTATACTACCTTACAGAGATCCATAATAACCAGCGTGTAATATATTGGCTTGAATGGGGGATGCGGTAACAGAAGCAGCTGCAACAAGACAGAGATATCACTTCCATATGAGACTCTAATAAGCGAAACATAAAAGAAAAAATAAATAACATCACTTTGTCCAACTTTTTAAAAAGGAATCTATAGTAGGTTTTTTTGTAATGAAACATCACAAGAGCAGTTGCTGTTTAATCATTTATGAAACAAGTAAAGCAGTTGCAAATTAGTTTTTATTTGGTTCTGTAGTTAATGGTAATAGAAGAAAATAGCAGCGGCTAGAGTCCCTATTCTACTTTGACCTTTTACCTGAGAGAATATTGTCTCTGCCATTAAGTACTCATATCGAAAGGGCACAGGCAGGCCTACCATGAAAGAAGCACATTCCTTTCGGCTAGAGCAAGAAAAAGAAATAATTAACATCAAGACCAAAGGCCTTAACATACTTTTACAAACATAAGGAATCAAATCATTTTAAAATAGAATGAAACAAGATCAGGATGATGGTTAATCAAAGAAAGTTGTGAATAGCTGGAACAAACATGCAAAAAGAGACCAGCTGCTTTACCAGACCAAAGCAAACAATCAATGAAACTTGAGCTTTTAACGCTTTCAGATGCAACTAAACAGTTTAATAAAAATGTATAAACTTCTCTTTAACTGATTCTAATTGTAGCTGACTATCAAGTAAAGATCAAGGTATTGGTGAATTTTCAATGTCTGGATAGCTGATTGATTTTTTTCACCATTATTTATGTAAATAATACAGCATTAAATTCTAGCATTGCTTCAGTTCACAAGAAAAACCATAAAAGGTTGGTAAATGAATAACATTCAAAAGGAAAATAAAATACTAATTTGTAAACTACAGGCTGATCATTGAGATACAAGCAAACATTATTTGAGAAATGCTAGAAAAACCATAAAAGGAGGGGATGGATTTCTCAAATAATGTTTGTTTGTATCTCAATGGACGTACTTTAGTTTACAAGTTAATATTCTATTTTCAAGCATGCATAGTTCATAATGAGTAATGACAAGAAATTATAGTTACCGTCAAATCAACCCATTAAAGTATATAGAAGAAGATAGAGAAAGTGAACAAACCATCCATTGAAGAACAAAAGCACATCCAGCAAATACTCTTCGACAACAAAGCGATCAATTGGCTGCAGATCCTGCCAAATAAAAGAAGAAATGAGAGATAGGGGGCTAGAAAGGAAAATCCAGATAGGGGAGATGAATAAGCACAAAGCTCTAATAGGCAACTAAGCTTTAAACCATAAACTCCATGACCATCTAAGTTTAACAAGGAAAATGGTGGCATGAAAAATTCAACAATAACATGTTCAATAATTTTACCTCTGTTTTACTAGCAGGAAAAATATTAAGCCTGCGTGTCCTTTGAGGATACTTCAACTCTGCCTCATGTTTTTGCTTTCCATAAGCTACGGCAGAAATTGTTGAAGGCAGCTCTGGCTGCTCAGGACAGCTAATGGGCCCAAACTCGTGAGACTTTCCCCCAACCAGCTGCGCTTCGAATGATAGGTGGGGCCTTGGAACTAGCAAATAGAAACATAGTGATTAAAATTTGTCATGTAGATGAAGAAGGGTAGTGGACAGTGACGGATCTAGAAATTTTTTTGAGGGTGGGCACACATATATTAATAATATAATTTTTTATAGCTATGTGATAGATAAAATCTCAGGGTGGGCACCATAAAATTTCAGGGTGGGCACACATACATTAATAAAAGAAAACAAATCGAGTTTTAAAGAAGAAAATTAGAATATCCGGAAATTTCAGCGTGGGAACGTGCCACCCTAAGATGAACGTACGTCCACCACTGGTAGTGGAAGATGAGAGTAGAGAAGCCAAAAGCCATTCCAATGCAATTATGAAATGGGAGATAGATGGAAGAGAGAGACCACAGAAAATAAATTTCATATATAAAACTGCATCATAAAATATAGTACTAAAATAACTTGCTTATATTGTCAAACTAAGACATTTACATTCATAGCTTGGTTTTTAAGGGCGCAAGGCACACCAAGGCGTAAAAGGTCCATGGAGCCTAGGCACAAGCCGTAGGGAGAAGGCGCGTGCCTTTCGTAGGCGTGGCGCATCTTTTATTCTAAAATATTATAATTAATTCTGAAACATATCCATACCAATTACCCACTAATTTACTCCTAAAACACTTAATCATCTCTCCAAACTATTTTCTTTCACCATTATTTGTTTACAAAATCTTAGTATCCAAAACACTTCAATTAAGAGTTAGGGTTACACTATTATAAATAATAATTGTATCTTTAAGTAGAAAGAACTTGATGTATAAAATATGTTAATAATATATTTTGAGTTTTTAAATTAAACTAATTATTTTATAATATATGAATATAACAATTAATTATAATTATAATTTTAAAGTAAAATCCTGGAATCTCTTTCTATTTTGTTTAGAAAATTATGCAATTTTTTATTTAGTTAGTATTTTATATCGAATTATTTCATTATAAATAATGAATTCTAATAATTTATTTTAAAAGTTGATATAAGAATATAAGTATATTAATAAAAGTTTAGATAAAAAATATTAATTGCGTAAAAAAATTTTATTAATATTATAATTATATAATATTTTAATTTTAAAAATGTATAATAAAAAATTATTAAATAACTATATATTTTTTGTTTATCTATATATTAAATATATTTTTATATCTTAATTATAATTTTTTATATTTATTTATTATATTAATGTAATATATTATATTCATTTTATTATAAGGAAAGAAAAGGACAACGAAGAGTGAGATAAAAAAATAAAGAAAAATGATGGGATCAGCGGCAGATATTCCCATTATTATATTATTTTGTTACTCCACAAAAGAGCAGGAAGCTTATTTTATTACTCCACAAAAGAGCAGAAAGCTTATTTTATTACTCCACAAAAGAGCAAAAGGCAGGAAGATTGTGGACGGTCACAAAGTGCAGAAGCGGTGCGCTTTAGCGCCTTCCCAAAAGCTGCAAAAAGTGGCCGCCTCAATGAGCTTTCTGTGTCTCGCTCCGCCTCCAACTTTGGAGGCGCTTTTTTGTGTGCTCGCAAGCGCTTTGCACCTAAGCGCACCCAAGGCGCGCTAGCAAGAGTAATGGGTTCAGAGATATAAACTAAACAAAGACTAGACATATTACCACTTTCTACTTTCCACCCATTGTTAGATAGAACTTGTATTCGTTCCCATAAATCTTCAAGGAAATCCTGAAAGAAATTTAAAGGAATTACTGATGAAGAAAGATGTATCCAGACCATATTAATAATTAAGATTAGAACCTGTATCCATCCCAATAAAGCTTCAAGGAAATAATGATGAACAACAATGGAATTACATAATCTAGTTTTGTTGACCATCCTCACAATTATAAGACCTAACCACTATAATCTCTCCTTTAGAGGTCAACTAATTGCCATAGTAAAAATATCCTCAAAGCCAAAAAAACGTCAACTAAGGAAAGGTAATGATCAATGACCTTAACCAGGTGACTTACCTTTTCAATGTCCCCTCCAGACTCACCATCCTCAAAAAAGGATAATCCAGAGTTAGAAGTATGCCTTCGAATGCTCAAATAGGCTTGTATACCAACCAATACTCTTTCTATCTCCTCAGGAACTTGCTGAATACATAAACATTTTTTTCTTTCAGAATACACAACACGTATCATCACAGTTAATGAGTGAATTCAATCTAAAACCGTGATAGGCATAAATAAAATAAGCCTATAAGAATTATGAAATGCATTCACCAAGAATAGGGTTTTGTTGTTGTTGTTGTTGTTGTTGTTGATTCACCAAGAATCACAGGTCAGCATTCATAGAATTGTAATAATCTAAAATATAATGAAACTTAGGTAGCAGAAACCAGGTGCCAAGTGAACTATGCAATAAGTTTCCCAAAAATTTTCTTGTCGTTTGAAATTTACATTGCTTCTTTCAGATGAAGAAACTATCCATACCCTATAATTCTAAAAAACAAATTAGTTTCCATAATTTGTAAACTAAAATCCTTACATGCAGCTAATTTGAAGTATAACTTTTACTAGTCTAAACGGCACACACTTAAAAAAGGAACCCTTACAAAGGAAATAACAAAGTACAAGGTGCTAACAACCAACTTAGGTGACAGTGATCCCAACCCATAAAATCATAATATTTATTGAGAGCTAAGAAAGGCCACACCTCAGCGAGTTCTGCTCCTCCCCATGGAAGACAAGACAAAATGCAAATCACATAAAAGTCAGCACGGGCTTGCCAGGAAGGATTTCCTTTCTCCTCATCAACTGTTATTGCAGCTGATGATAATAGAGTTTCAAAGACAACTACTAGTGAAGCAGGTTGGATTACTTTGCTGCACATCTGCAGAATGCAAGGAAATTGAGAAATAAAGCTTCATCTATCATCTTCAAAATAACTATAAATATATCTTCCATAACAGGGATCTGTTTTAGCTAACTAGTTACAGAATACAAACCAGCAATTGGGAAAACTATACAACTGAAGTTGTAGATGCCTATAAGGTCTCACAGAATATTCACCAAAAGAATTCAAAAAATATTAAGCAAATCCAGTATTAGTTTGCCTTTCGTGTCAGTTTTGTACTCCCTGGGGTATGTGGCGCTTGCAATACCAACAAGATTTTGTTAGTATAATTTCACTCATAAAATGAAAACCATTAACAAGTAAGATTTGCATAATCATCCACAAATTTTACTTTTGTTAATGATGAAATAAATAGCATAGAGTGCTCATTCCTGGACAATTTCTCTAGTATTCAATCATATGTGCGAGGAAGTTAAATTTGTCTAAACATTCAAGACACTGCCGAAAACAATCACTACAGCTGTACTATAGACAAATATACAATGCCATACATACCAAAACAGTCAGAAACCGCATTAAAATACGAATTATGTCACACTTTCCAGAATCCAGAGCATCCTGGAAAATCCAACATGGCAAGAATGTCAAAGAAAGTTCAATAGGGAGGAAAAAAACACAAAATCCCTTGAAGGCTAAAACAACACAGGAATAGACACTTGAAATCATTCGAATCAAAAGCTTTCTCACCTGAAAACTGTCTTGTGTATTCTCAACTATCTTTTTAACAAAGTCCTCATCTTCCAAATTTAACAAACCAATCTGAGAGAGAGAGATATTAGAACCTGTAAGCACTGTCACTAAATGTGAAAAAGGGATAAAGGAGTATCCTTGAATATATGTCAATTGATAATGGAGATTTATACAATAATGAAAGATCAACAGTTCAGCCCAACAGGAAATCTTGCATAGAGTTTTAAATACTACTTTTTTCTCGCAAAATAGTATCTTTTCTACAGGATGAGTGGCAACATTTATACATTATGTATGCAAGTAAACAAGTCCATTGAAGAAAAACTTTATTGTAACAATCACACCATGAGAGGTGTGCCAATATAATCACCTGACTAGTTTTATTTACACAGCTGACACAGTCAATTAATAAAAGAAAATCAACGGACAACAGAAAAGGATTCTTCAAAAGGCTTAGAAGAGTCGTACCAATGTTCCATACAAGGGAATCTTGTGAGGCAATTGTTCCGAACATTGGAGAAGGAACTGTCAGGATAAAGAAGCAACAAAAAAGCATTCAATAATCTGTATATGCCTCAAGCAAGGAAATACCTTATAATTGGGAAAAAAAGAATACTCCAACTCATCAATTCACAGGTGTCCTCTATCATTGGAGTAGAGTAATTTCATGAAAGCAATCTTAGTTATACAAGGCATTGTTTTCCCTCAATGCTTTTTCAATTACAGTCTAACCAAATTTTCTTAATATATTATACTTATAGTGTGTATTTATGCCTCGATATCTTTATGCCTTCTTCTTGCAATGACTTCACCTTACCGTTAAAGAAAAAGAAGCCATTTTTTTAATCAACTCCACAGAGATATTTAAGAACTTTATATGATTATAAAAGTTCAGAGCAGCCAGACAAAAGTTAGACAAAAAGTTCATTTTTGTTTCATAAATAATTAAAACTACTAGCGTCGAACTTTAACATTAAAGTTCCAAAATAGGATAATAGTAACTTATATCTACAGCACAACTAAACTAACTAAAGGTAGGCATAAAAAAATGTCCTAATTTTAAACAATTTTCCAATTTGTAATTTTTTCTCTCATGCCCCTTTAGGTCGGTGGAAAAATAATAACTCTCGATGCAAACCTAACAGCTCCACTCCAACGCCTAAAACAATCACTTCGTGATTTTCAACTAAGTACTTAAGATATCTCATGATTTTCAACCATGCCAGAACTAAAATGGGAAATTTAAAGGAAAACTTTAGAGAGAGAGAGAGAGAGGAGATTACAGGTAAAATTTCAGAAGAAGAATGCAACAACTCTCTCCGTAAAGCTCCAAAGCAAGTTTCCTGTAATTTCAACAAAGAAAAACACAGAACGGTAATTATTAAAAAAATAAGTGAAGAAAAGAATTCGTTTTGGGTGGAAAATAGCAGAATGGACTAGGGTTTATTTGCGAAGAAACAAATTACAGAGAAAGGTACGAACAATGTGGTCTTTGAAATCGGAAGATGAATTGTACTCTGAGCTTTTGTCGCCAATTCGAAGAAGAAGACTTTTCCAGCTGCTCATATTTTCTTTCTTATTTTTCCTCTGATTTTTCTTGGTAAACAAACAAGTTGTGTGATTGGAGAGACTACTAAAGTGTAGGGAACGAGGGCCGGTGTCAAATAGAGGGATTCTGCAGGGGTTTTCTTTAGTTGGGAGTAATATGCCTTATAATCCCCTAAACTATTTCAAAATATCAAATATAGCATCTATCATGGTATATCCGTCTATCATGTTATCAAAGAACCCTAACACCGTCATAACAAAATATTTTAGGATAAATTACGTATTTAATATCTAAACAATTAATTTTAATCTTTTTAATACTTAAACGTTTATTTTTTTTAAAATCATACTTAAAGTTTAATTTTTATTTGATTTTAGTACTCCGTTCAAATTTTGGCATTAAGTTTTGAATTTTTTTTTATAGTATAGGTTCTAAAACGGATCACAACTAATAGTTTAGGTAATAAATGTGTTAAGTTTTTAATGATGGGTACTAAAATGAAACAAAAACTAAATATTATATGACTTTGAAAAATTGAAAGTTTAGGTACTAAAATAGATCAAAAATGATAGTTTAGGTACTAATTTTGTAATACCTTAAACTTCAGGTCAGTGACTGAAATGTAAGAATTTAAAATTTTGATGGTTTAATTTAAATAATTGAAAAGTTCAAGGAATGATTTAGAAATTTTTGTCTAGGATTTGTATTAAAAAATGGAAAAATAGAAGGACATAATGGTCTTTTAACATAGGAATTTAAAATTTATTTCCCAAGGCTATATAAAACGTGATAAAAGGGAAGAAAGAAAGAAAGAAATGAAGAATTTGGAAGTTTTTCTCTTTTCTTCTTTTTCTTGCCCGTGAAACTCCATTGTAAGGTAAGTTAATTTCAAGTCGGTTAATCCTTTCATTTTGAGTTGGTTTTGAAGCCTTGAGTGGTATAAAAGCTTAAGGAAAGCTTTCAAGGTGAATAAAAACTAAGATTTGGTGATTTAATGATGAATTAGTAAAATGAGTTTTTAAGTGAAATGATGAATTTTGGTTAGTAATTGAATTCTAAAAGCATATTTGACTTATCATAGGTGTAAATAAGAAATTTGAAGTGTTAGAAATGATTGAGAACATGTTTGAAAAATTGGTATGATTTTTAGTTTAAAGAGTTCTATGGAGAAATTAGGGTGTTAAAGGGATTTTAATGGATATAAGTTAGTGGAAATAAGTGTAAATGAGTTTAAAGGCATGAATGAAGTTTAAAGTAGGAGATTTAAGTGAAGTTGGATAATTTTCGAAGTGAAATAGATGAATTCTGGGTAAAGGTATCGGTACTGGAAGAACAATATCGATACTATAAGGTTAAAATTTAAGGAAAGAAAATGAATACGATGAACATTATCGATACTGATTGAAGTAATATCGATACTAATGTGGAGGTATCAATACCAAGAGTAAGGTATTGATACTGTAATTGAAATTTGATTTCCAGAATTTCAAAATGGTATCGATGTTGAAGTGGGCATCGGTAACATAGAAGAGAAGTATCGGTACTGTGGGTAAAGTATGTATAATATTCAGTCGAAATGTTAATTAGGTGTTTCATTTCGCTTAAGTAAAGGTTATTTGGTTAGATGTTAATTGAATTCCGATATTTATATTGATCATGTTAATGTGTAGATTTGATTGAAAGCAAGTGTTGAGCGAAGTGACGTATAAAGTTGGGGAGTTAAAGTGAAAAAGAGTTGCTTAGGGTTTAAGTGAGGCAAAGGTGAGTGCATTCTTACTTACTTTGTATAAAATTTGAGGACGGCTTGAGATGAGCCAACCTCATATGTTTATGAACCAAATGAATTATATTATGTGATTATTTTATCCAAACGGTATTTTAAAAGTACTGTTTTGATTTCATTGTTATGAATATATATATATATATATATATATATATATATATATGTGTGTGTGTGTGTGTGTGTGTGTGTGTGTGTGTGTGTGTGTGTGTGAAATATTACAAGTATATGACTTAGGTGAATATATTTCATGAGAAAAACTGATGATTTGAATAATGCTATATAAAGCAATATAAGTATAAGTTTTATGAGAAGAAATGATAAGTTGAGTAAGGTTAAACAAAATTTTATAAATAATTGTTCTATGTGAATAAATAATAAATTCAGGTAATGCTACGTGAAATAATGAGTTTATGTGTTATAAGTGAATATGTCATACGTGAAAAATGTTATATGTGAAAAATGATCTACGTGAATATGATATATGTAAATGTGTTCTATGTGAAAATGTTTAAGTGAACATGAATTAAGTAACTGAAGTCTATGTGAATAAAATACACTTAAATGATAAAATGAGAAATAATTATGTGGTTAAAGCCCAAAGTATATGTATGAGAATTTGAGGTATAGTTGGCATGCTATGAGTGAGGGTTCTATATAATCCTTCGGGACAAACCTATGTGGTCCTTTGTGACAAATCTATGTGGTCCTTCAGGAAAAATTCTATGTGGCACTTCAGTGCAAATTCTATGTGGCACTTCGGTGCAAATTATGTGAGCAATGGTGACTGCATTAGTGCACAACCTCTATGTACTCGCATACCTTGAGTTCTCAGCGATATACGTTGGGCTAATAAAACAAATTTGATATAAATTGAGAAATGAGTAATAGTATTAAAATGTTAATGAAGTGTCTATTGGTTTTATACGAAATGTTTCAAAGTGTTGAGTTAATCGATCGACGGAATTAGCTAAGAGGGGGTGAATTGGGAATTAAAAATTCGGTGGAAGCTTTTGCAGAAAATTGAAAAGATTTGCACATCGATTTAGAGTGGTTCGACTTTCTCAATCAAAGTCTACGTCCACTACCTTAGCTATCCACACTAAGGATTTTCCAACAAATTCACTAATTTATTCTTTCTTTTGAGGCCAAAGAGATAACCTTACAACACCCTCAAGAATATACCCCAATTCTTGAGAACACTCTTTTCCCAAAGAGAATATTACAAATTTGCAAACTTACAAGGAAAACCTCACAAGGTAAGATGTTTGCACAATTCTAGAACAAGAAAAGAACACTCAAAGATAATTACAAATGAGCACAAATGGTGTTCTTGAAAGCAAAATGAATATTGAAAGGAAAATTGGCTTGATTTGCACAAACTTGGTGTTTGATGCTTTCTCTCTTGTTTCTCTATGATTTCTTCTTGATCAAGGGCTTCAGAACTTGTTTAAATACACCTTGAATCACTTCTGAACGTTGGGGATGATTAGTGAAGATCATATAGCCGTTTTAGTGTGAAAACAATTAATAAAACAGTTTGGAGCGTGGGGGAATCGGTTCCCTAAGTGTAAAATTCAAATATTTCGACCGTTGAACAGGGGGGAATCGGTACCCCCTATGGGGGAATCGGTTCCCTCCGAGCATTCTGGAAATCTCGGAGCCAAACCATGCAGGGGGGAATCGGTACCCCCTTGGGGGGGAATCGGTTCCCTCTGAGCAATCTGGAATTTTTGGCTTTGAAATGGTTCGAAATACTTTGAAAGATTATTTTGAAATTGTTTTAAGATTAAAACTTAATTTTACACTTAAGTAAGGATTAAAAATGATTTTTGAAATATTTGGAGTAATGTTTTGATATTCGAATAATTATATCGAATATACTTAGAAAATCATTTTGGAAAATCTTAAAATTCATTTAACTTAATTTGTTATATCGAAATATCAAAATGTTTTCAACAATCTCCCCCTTTTTGATATAACAAAACATTTTAGTAATTTTAAGATTTTGAAATCAAGTTTTGAAATTACTCCCCCTTACTTTAACACTTCTCCCATTTATCATAAAACACACTTAAACACTTCTCCCCCTTTTTGTTAAATCAAAAAGACATTTTAAAGAATTTAAACAAGGTTTTGAAATCAGTTAGTCAATTGATTATATATAATATAAGCTGCTAAGATCACAAGCAAGAGAAACGTTAGCCATTAGTTTCATAATCAATATTCATAAACAATGTGATATGGTAAAATTGGTCATATTGCTAATAATGATGTAAATGATGCAATAATGAATAAATCACACCAAACATATAAGTTCATACCATCTATAAATTCAAACAAATTCACAATCCACGAATTCAAACATTCCAAAATATTCAAAATGTTAAAACAATAAGTTTGGAAAACAAAGTAAAATATTTAATCACATATCCGGATCAGGAGGAGGAAAACGAGCTCGCATAGCGGCCATTTAGTTAGTGAGGTCATTAATACGTGCATTGGTTGCTTCATTATTTGCACGCATTTCCCGAAGAATTTCTAATTGTTGAGCTCCCATTGTGGATAAATGGGACTCTATAGAATTAAAGCGCGAATCCATGGTCGCATATCGGTAATCAAATGTCTCCATAAAAGATTGAAAATATGGAGGCATTTGAGTCGATTGTTGTGCTTGCTCTTCGGGCTGCTCCTCGGGCTGCTCCTCGGGCTGCTCAGGTTCATCTTCAGCTTCATCGATGTCTCGCATTAATTGCTCAAGCTCGAGATCTTCGTCAGCTTCGGGTGGAGGTTGTGAAGAACTAGCTCCCGGAGTAGTTGCAGAAGATCGAACCCATTCCCCGGTTTCCTTATCCTTAATCCATCCCGCTCTCGTTAAGGAAAGAAGGTTAATTTGTTTCTTAAGAGGAAAAACGGCATCTAGACCGACTCTAAGCCCAGCTTTGGAAAACAAATTACTCAAAATACAACCGTAAACAAGAGATGAACAAAGTTTTTTATTAGGAACAAGATTTACGGTTTCAACAATTTCAGCAAAAATAATCTGTGGTAGGTTGATTTTAATATTGTTTTCGAAACAATGTAACCATCAAAGATCTAAGGCTCTAAGAGTAGAATAATGACCTCCAGATGGTCGAAACCACCAAGAAATCATTAGATGAAGAAAACGTTCATGAAGGTCTAGGACACTTGCACTATCCCTTCTTTTATAACGAGATCCTAAAACCTATTTTTCATTTGAAATCCCTTCATTATCTAATCCGAATGTATTGGCTATGTAAGCTGAGTCAATATATAAGAATTGTCCTAGAAGGTAGGAACGAATTCCTATGGTTTCGGTTTCAGTTTGGTCTTTAACACAAACGGAATTAGAATAGAAAATACGAACAAGTTGATGGTAAACGATGGGTTCAAGGTCAAAGAGTTTATCAAATTTCCACTCTTGTAAAAGAGGAAGATATTTAAAATTGATAGCTAACATAGCTTGACGAGAAGGAATACGTTCTTCCCGGATTTTGTAAGAGTCGAAATATTGATAATACCAAAAACGATGATTTCTAGGACCAGGATGATTGAAACACGAATTTTGAATAGTCAAATTAGGATCAATAGGATTAGGATTAGAAATTGGAATAGGTGGAGGATTTGGAGGTGGATTTGGTTGTCGGTGTGAATGACTAGATGAAGACCTAGCACGTTTAGGATTAGACATGGTGAAGGAAATCGGAATAGATTGGATAACCTGCAATTTTAAAAACAAATGTATGCAATTCAATTAATCCCAAAACTCAATTGAGTCCTCAATATTTCAAGGTTCTCTAAATCAATCCTAATGGGCAAAGTTTTTGAAAAACTTTTGAAAAATATGGTTTTGAGAAACAATATATGTATAGTTTTCATAACAACAACATAATTTAATCAAAACACAATGATTTGAAAAACAACAAAATTTTTTTTTAATTTCAAAAATGTAAAAATTTTGGAAAATTTTTGTGCCTAGAACTAATTAAAACTAATCCTATGTTCAAAATCAATGAAATAGAGAGTTTAGAAAAATTTACCTTGAAAGATGAAGATTGAGGGGATTTAGATGTTGTTTGCATGATTTTAATGATGATTGCAAGCTTAGGAGATGATATTTGAAGCGATTTCCGATTAAAATCAATGATTTGAGGCAAGAATGGAAATTTGAGAGAGTAGAGGTAAGAAACGACGTGAAGGAATAAGAGAGGGTTTGAGCAAATATTGGGTTCTGCCCGTGCTAAAACCAGAACCCCAGGGGGGTATCGATTCCCCTGTGGGGGGAATCGGTTCCCCTTCAAAGGGGGAATCGGTTCCCTCAAGGGGGGATCGATTCCCTCTGCACCAAAATGCTAAAATCCAATTTTAAACACCCAAAATGCTAAATTAATTTCCTCTAGTGGTATTGGCAACTCATATATTGAAAATTAATCATGTTCAAACAATTAAATTAATCTTTAAACGATATTTGAACATAAAATTAATTTTTTATCACGAATCATAAACTCCCCCTAACTAATAGCAATGAATGCAATCAAAATTTACTATTATAAGCATTTTTCATTTATTATTAAAAGTGTTGAATTATTTTAAACACTACGTGAAGATAGGTCAGTTAAACCTAATTCTCTCCTAAGTGTCCAAAACCTTTCCTTATCTAAGGGTTTTGTAAAAATATCCGCTAATTGATGCAAAGTATCAACAAATTCTAGAACTAAATCTTCCTTAGTGACATGGTCTCTAATGAAGTGATGTCTAATTTCAATGTGTTTAGTTCTAGAGTGTTGGATGGGATTTTTAGTGAGACAAATAGCACTAGTATTGTCACACTTGATAGGAATAGTACCTACTTCAATTCCATAATCAAAAAGTTGTTGTTTCATCCATAAAACTTGTGCACAACAACTACCGGCTGAAATATATTCCGCTTCAGTGGTAGATAATGCAACACAATTTTGTTTCTTTGAAAACCAAGAAATCAGCATATTTCCAAGGAATTGGCAAGTACCGGAGGTGCTTTTCCTATCTATTTTACATCCTCCATAATCCGCATCAGAAAAAGCATGCAAGTTAAAGCTAGAGTCTCTAGGATACCAAAGTCCTAAACTAGGAGTGTCCTTAAAGTATCTAAAGATTCTCTTAACAGCTAGTAAATGTGATTCCTTAGGACATGATTGAAATCTAGCACATAAGCAAACACTAAACATAATGTCCGGTCTACTTGCAGTTAGATAAAGCAAAGAGCCAATCATTGACCTATATAATTTAACATCTACACATTTACCTCCTTCATCTAAGTAAAGCTTTGTTGAAGAGCTCATTGGAGTGTCATGAGGTTTCCCATTTTCCAGTCCAAACTTCATGAGCATATCTTTGACGTACTTAGCTTGATAAATGAAGATGCCATCTTTTCTTTGCTTGATTTGGAGTCCCAAGAAAAATGAGAGCTCCCCCATCATGCTCATCTCAAACTCACTTTGCATTAGCTTAGAAAATTCTTGGCAAAGAACATCATTAGTAGAACCAAATATTATATCATCAACATAAATTTGAGCTACTAATAAATCTTTACCTTTATGCTTTAAAAACAATGTAGTGTCAACATTTCCTTTTGAAAAACCTTTTTCAATTAAAAAATTTGACAGTCTTTCATACCAAGCTCTAGGAGCTTGTTTTAAACCATAAAGAGCTTTTGTCAATTTAAGAACATGATCTGGAAATTTTGACTCTTCAAAACCTGGAGGTTGTTCCACATACACTTCTTCTTTTATAAAACCATTTAAAAATGCACTTTTAACATCCATTTGATATAATTTAAATTCATGAAAACATGCAAATGCTAATAACATTCTAATTGCTTCCATCCTAGCTACGGGAGCGTATGTTTCATCATAGTCTATGCCCTCTTCTTGAGTATACCCTTGAGCAACAAGTCTAGCCTTGTTTCTCACTATATTACCACTCTCATCAAGCTTATTCCTAAATACCCATCTAGTACCTACAGTAGATTTATTACTAGGCCTTTCAACTAATGTCCATACTTTACTTCTCTCAAATTGATTTAACTCTTCTTGCATAGCCATAATCCAATGTTCATCATTTAATGCTTCTTTAATATTCTTAGGCTCTATGCATGAGATAAATGCAACATAATTACAAATATTTCTAAGAGAAGATCGAGTTGTTACCCCTTTTGATGGATCACCTATAATTTCACCATCCTTGACATAGTTGTACTCTCTTGGATAAGATACTTCCCTTTCTTCAATGGTTAGATTCTCAAGAGGATCATGAGTTTCCTCATTTTTCGTTTCTTCCTTTGATGATGGTTCTCCAACTTCATGTCTAACGTCATTTGTATTTATAACACCTACATCATCATTCACACAAGAATCCTTCCTCGAAAGGGGATTATCATCGAAAACAACATGTATAGACTCTTCTACAACTAAAGTTCTTTTATTAAATACACGATAGGCTTTAGAATTTAAGGAATAACCCAGAAAAATTCCTTCATCACTTTTAGCATCAAATTTGCCAAGGTTTTCTTTACCGTTGTTTAAAACAAAACATTTACATCCAAAAGGATGAAAATAACTAATGTTAGGCTTTTTATTTTTGAAAATTTCATATGGAGTTTTCTTTAAAATTGGCCTAATCATTACTCGATTTACAACATAACAAGCGGTATTTGTGGCTTCCGTCCAAAAATATTTTGGCAAATTATTTTCACAAAGCATGGTTCTAGCCATTTCTTCTAAAGTTCGATTTTTCCTCTCAACAACTCCATTTTGTTGAGGGGTTCTAGGTGCTGAAAAATTATGACTAATACCATTAGAATTACAAAATTCAATAAATCCAAGATTTTCAAATTCAGTGCCATGATCACTCCTAACACTAGTTATAGAGTAACCCTTTTCATTTTGGATTATTTTTGAAAATGTGATGAACTGTTCTAATGCTTCATCTTTAGTCCTTAAAAATAGAACCCAAGTATATCTAGAATAGTCATCTACCAAGACAAATGCATATTGTTTTCCACCCAAGCTAGTAGTCCTAGTTGGCCCAAAAAGATCTACATGGATCAACTGTAATACTCTACTAGTTGATACGTCATTAATGGATTTAAAAGAAACACGCTTTTGTTTTCCTTTAGCACAAGCATCACAGATTTTATCATTATCAAATTTAAGCTTAGGCAACCCTCGAACTAAATCACCTTGAATTAGCCGTTGCAAAACACTCATACTAGCATGTCCTAGTCTCCTATGCCATAACCAACTATCATGTTCATCTTTAGCAACTAGGCATAAATTAGTCATATCAAAAGAATCTAAATGCACCATGTAAATGTTCCCTATTCTATGACCAACAAGCATAATCCGATTAGATGCAATGTCAATGACTTTACAACCATTAATTTCAAATAAGACATTGAATCCTTTATCGCATAATTGACTAATACTTAATAGATTATGCTTTAATCCATTCACATATAAAACATTCTTAATTTGTATGGAAGAGGTATTACCTATTGTACCAATACCTTCAATGTGACCTTTTGAATTGTCTCCAAAAGTCACTTCTCCTCCATTTTTGGCGTTAAGCTCAATGAACCGGCTTTTGTCTCCGGTCATATGTCTTGAGCATCCACTATCAAGGTACCATGAATTTGAATTTGTTTCCTGTGCCTTGTAGCAATGCTCATTTCCCTACAAACATAGATTAATTTCTGATTTTTGGTACCCAAATTCTTTTGGGTCCATATTCATTAGTTTCCAAAATCCTAGTCCCCTTAGGTATCCATTTGTGTAGGATATTTTTATCTTTAGTAGTAATGAGTTCTTTAGGAACCCACATACTTCTAACAATTTTTCCATTAGAGGTTATTTGGGGACCTCTATGATTGTAGTTTCTAAAACTTTTTCTAACAAAGTTGGATTTTGAATTTCCACCTTTTTCAAAATGTTTTGTTCCAACTTTATCAAAAGAAGTTTTAAGATCATCAATTTTCTTTTGATGATCATCATTGATCTTTGAAAGTAAATTTCGCAAATCTAAATTTTTCTTTTCAAACTCTTCTAGTTTGATTTGCAAGTCTTTGATTTTACTTTCAAGATCGTTGTTGGTTTTTGATATGAGTTTGTTTTCATTTTTCAATTTTGAAACATCATTTTTATATTTTAAAAATAATTTCTCATAATCCGAAGCCAACCCATTATATTCCTCTAATAACTCATCATAGGATAAATCATCAAAATCGGATGAGTTAGAGGTTACCTTAGAATCTTCCCCAAATGCCATCAAGCACAATTTAGCTACTTCTTGTTCCTCTTCATCGGAACTTTCTTCATCGCTCCATGTAGCCACATGAGCCTTGTGCTTATTCTTTGATTGACCCTTTTTCTTCAATTGTGGGCAATCATATTTAACATGCCCTGGCTTTTTGCATTCGTAGCAAATGATTGGGTCCTTCTCTTTCGGTTCATTTTTGAGGCCTTCATTTCGTTTGAATTTTCTTCCTCGATAAGGTCTCATCATTTTTTTGAACCGTTTGGCAAACAATGCCATTTCCTCGTCATCGTCATCGTTATTCGAATCACTCTCATCTTTTGTGGATTTGAGAGCAACTCCAATGTTTTTATTCTTCTCCTTCTCCTTTGGTGTCTCGTCAATTTTGTCGAGGTCCACCTCATCTTCGAGCATCATTTCATGAGTGAGGAGTGACCCAATTAGCTCTTCAAGAGTTAAGGACGTTAAGTCCTTAGACTCGATGATTGCCGTCTTCTTTGATTGCCACGATTTTGGGAGGGAGTAGACTAACTTCCTCACAAGCTTTTCATTTGAAATGATCTCTCCATATGATTTGAGACCATTGACAATCGTTGAAAATCTATCTGTCATAGCTTTGATATCTTCATTTGGTTTCATCCTGAAATTTTCATAGCTATGCGTTAGAATACTAATTTTAGATTTCTTTACCTCATCGGTACCTTCTTGAGTGACTTGAAGTTTGTACCATATTTCTTTGGCGGTTGTACACGATGAAACTCTTCCGTATTCATCTAGTCCAAGAGCACAAAAAATGATATGGATGGCTTTGGAGTTGAGCTGGAACATTCTTGTCTCTCCTTCACTCCACAACCTTGGATGAGTGAGAGGTTTGATGTATCCTTCTTCTACAGCATTCCATGCTCCCATGTCACTTGCTTGGATGAAGTACATCATTCTATTCTTCCAATAGGCATAGTTAGCTCCATTGAAGAAAGGAGGCTTGTTGACGGGCATCGAATCGAGACCGGAGTCGAAGTTTGAAGCAGAGGCCATTGATGACTTTGATAATCGATATAACTCTTCCCGAATCGACTCAAGAGGCGATTAAACCTTCAAATGAGTTAGGCTCTGATCCCAATTGTTGAGTTAATCGATCGACGGAATTAGCCAAGAGGGGGGTGAATTGGCAATTAAAAATTCGGTGGAAGCTTTTGCAGAAAATTGAAAAGATTTGCACAGCGATTTAGAGTGGTTCGACTTTCTCAATCAAAGTCTACGTCCACTACCTTAGCTATCCACACTAAGGATTTTCCAACAAATTCACTAATTTGTTCTTTCTTTTGAGACCAAAGAGATAACCTTACAACACCCTTAAGAATATACCCCAATTCTTGAGAACACTCTTTTCCCAAAGAGAAGATTACAAATTTGCAAACTTACAAGGAAAACCTCACAAGGTAAGATGTTTGTACAATTCTAGAACAAAAAAAGAACACTCAAAGATAATTACAAATGAGCACAAATGGTGTTCTTGAAAGCAAAATGAATATTGAAAGGAAAATTGGCTTGATTTGCACAAACTTGGTGTTTGATGTTTTCTCTCTTGTTTCTCTATGGTTTCTTCTTGATCAAGGGCTTCAGAACTTGTTTAAATACACCTTGAATCACTTCTGAACGTTGGGGATGATTAGTGAAGATCATATAGCCATTTTAGTGTGAAAACAATTAATAAAACAGTTTGGAGCGTGGGGGGAATCGGTTCCCCTCATAGGGAATCGGTTCCCTAAGTGTAAAATTCAAATATTTCGACCGTTGAACAGGGGGGAATCGGTTCCCTCCGAGCATTCTGGAAATCTCGGAGCCAAACCATTCAGGGGGAATCGGTACCCCCTTGGGGGAGAATCGGTTCCCTCTGAGCAATCTGGAATTTTTGGCTTTGAAATGGTTCGAAATACTTTGAAAGATTATTTTGAAATTGTTTTAAGATTAAAACTTAATTTTACACTTAAGTAAGGATTAAAAATGATTTTTGAAATATTTGGAGTAATGTTTTGATATTCGAATAATTATATCGAATATACTTAGAAAATCATTTTGGAAAATCTTAAAATTCATTTAACTTAATTTGTTATATCGAAATATCAAAAAATTTTCAACTCAAAGGAATGTATAAGCAAGTGTCAAATACACATAAATTAATCAATGAGTAATAGTATATGTTATAAGTTATGTAGACTATGATGTTATAATAATTAATGATTCTTTTGGAAATATTTACATAATTGTTTTATTATTTTACTATACTCAGTATTGTCTCACTAGGTCATAGACTTAGCATGTGAGTGTTTTCACACGTAGGTTCAAAGAGATTCGAGGAGTAAGCCGAGTAAGCTATGGCAGAACAACATGACTAAGAAGATTATCAGATCATAGAGATTTTGAATTGCACGTGTTTATTATTTGAAATGTTGTTGGCATGTACTAAAATGTTTAAATTGTAGATGCTCTGATATATTACTAAGTTTTCATTTTTCTTTGTTAATAAAAGTAAAAAGTCAAAATTTATACGGATTTTCAAAGTTTTCAAGTGTTAAGAGTAAATGTGACACCTCAGATTCATATCTGGGTCGGATACATGTCGGGGGTGTTACATTTATTGCTATCAGAGCTTAAGTTGAGTCATATTGGTATCAGAGCTTAAGTTGAATCAAGTTTTCAAAAAAACCGGTCGATCGACTATCCAAAAATGTTTGGTTTGTACATGCCAACGAAATAATAAAAATCTAGATATGATAGTGTAATGAGTATGTTATCCTTGCTGGTATAGTTAAATGATTATAGTTTAATAGATATAAGACTAAGAGGTCTTCCGAAGAGAAATGAGAAATAGAGTTGATAAGAGAAGTAGTAACTCGGTAAAGTGAATAGAAAACGCCTCAAAGAGTATTTTCCAGATGATGGACGCAATTTTGAAGTTTTTCCAATCATCTACTTCCCCGTTATTAGAAGGAATGTTAGTAAAGAGTTAAAAAGTTTAGAAACACCTGAGTTTAAGGGAGAATCTGAGGAAAGTTTTGTTTCTGCAAATTTTTGGTTAAATGATAAGAAAATTTTGTTGGATGGCTTCCATTGTTATGAAATGAAGAAGTTGGATGCAGTAGTCTCACTGTTAAGAGGTCAAGCACAAATATGATGGATTAATGTGATAAGGAGAGTATGTTCCCTACTAGGATTTTGGAAGTAATTACTATGAAGTTATTGTTATAAAGTTGCTATGTTCTAATAGATTGATTAAGATCAAAGAATGATAGAAGTAGAATTTTTATGAATGGTTTAAACTTTCAGAAAGAAGATATTGGTGATATGGTAGAAAGTATAATATATGTACGAATTATGATTGAGTGGAAGTTTGAAAAGTTATTTTGAATTTGAAATCTTTTGGAATTATTTGACTATTCAAAAGATTCATGGAGAAACTCTCTAAGACCCCTCCCCACTAAACAAGTTATTAGTAATGAGGCAATAGTTATTTGAATTAGTAAGAAACAAAGAAATGCAATGTATGTCTTATCAATTGGAAATTGATAGTTGGGAAAAGTAAGTCGGACAAATAAGTGCAGTGTAACAAAGTATATTTGAAAATGATTCTCAAGTAGTACATAAAATAAAATAAGTGGATTTTCTTTAAAGTAAGAGAAATTTATTTCGAAATATAAATAAGGAGTTAGGAATTTTTAATTTATATGAAGCTGAGAATTAGAATAGCAAGTTCGGTCTAAGTGAAAATTTTGTAACTGGATTAGAAAATTCGTCAGAAATTGTAAAAGTTGAAGTAGAAGAAGTATTTTAAAGGTTTAAATATGTATTTGTATTTAGATCTGATTCATCAAGTGGAAAAATTATGAGTATAAGGAATAATAAAGAATAAGATTCTTTACAAAGGAGTGTAGAATACCAAAGTTATGACGATGCAATAAATTGGCAATTAATAATGATAATAAGTAGTATGATAATGTTTTTCATATCGTTATCGAAAGGATATTGAAGTACGAAGAAAAAGAGATGACCTATGTTACAAGGAAGTAATTGAATTAGGGAAACTTGAAGTGTTGGTCAAATTCTAAAGTTGAAAGTAAAACAAAGAGAAGTGATAGGACTTTTTAAGAATTTTATGAGAGTTATAGAAATTAATATGTTACGTTAATTGGTGTTGGAAGAAGAAGATAGCTCCAGGAATGTAAAAGTAAAGTTTAAGTTTAATTTGTTAAAATAAAGGATGAATATATAAGTACATGTTAAGGATGAAACATGAAATCAAGGAAAATGGAGAAGTATAGGATATATTAAGATAGTAAAGAAATAAGAAGGTATTGTCACTCTGGAAGGAAATAAAGACATAATAAATTAAAGTGAATGGTTTAGAGGAGTAAATATGACAAGGGTTATAAAGTGGTATAGTATAAAAGTTTAGCATATTGGTAAATTAAAAATAAGGTAAATTGAAAATCTATGGAATAAGAGTAAATAGTTTTCAGTTCTAGGTGGAAATGGTAAAGAGTTATTATGAACTTTGTATCATGTTTGATTTTATGACTCAGTAAAAATGACTCAATTTGGATAATTGTGGATCATTTAACAAAGACCGCACATTTCATTCTTGTTCGAATTGATTTTTTAAGGGATAAATATATGGAACTATACATCAAAGAGGTAGTTAGAGTACATGGAGTACCAGTTCTAATTGTATTTTATGAGATCTAAGGTTTACTTCAATGTTTTGGAATTATTTGAGCAAGGCTTTCGGAACTCGATTTAATTTTGACATTATTTTCTATCCACGGTTAAATGGTTGGTCTGATCAGGTTATTCAGATTTTTAAAGTCATGTTATGATGTGTGTGTTTGAGTTAAAACATTAAGATAAAAATTTCATGCTTAGTTAACCAAGTGCGATGTGGATTTGTCTAAGGTTGTGTTTCTTGGCCATGTAGACGTAGTCAAAGAGATAAGGATTTTTATATATTAAGGGAGCTAGAGATATAGTCAAATGATTATATTCCCTCTGATCAAGCTATTAAGGATAGACATGTTACTTTTGGACTGCTTAGTAGCAAGAAATTTTAAGATGATAAAAAAATTATTGACATGAGCTTCAAGGTCAATATAAGTAGAATTTGGAAAAGATTATGTGTATCATAACTAGATGAGGGCTTGTGTAAGAGTAAAGGTTTTGGTTTATGTTGCAAAGCAATTAGAGAATGATGGAAGAATCAAATAACTCATGATCTTGAGTTGGCAATGATTGGGGTTACTGTGTTGATAGAACAACATTATGTACATGGTGAATGACATTATATCTATACAGATTTATAAAAGTCAAACGTATGTGTAGAATTGAAGTGAAAAGACAAGAAATGGATTGAATTCCTTGGAGATTGAAGATGTGCTTATCAACTGTAAGTATGAAAGATTATTATAGTGGTTGTTATGACTAAACTGATAGATAATTATATTTTGAGAGTTTTGAATATGTACTTATCTTTCAAGATAGATAGTGTTTTGATTGTATAATTGTATTTAAAGCCTTTGTTGCGGGTTCGAATTAAAAGATTGAGACTTAGTGCAGCCAGATTTGATCAAAGAAATTGAAGAAAAGTGAAGATTATTTAAGATAATCATAAGATAGTTGATGATCGACAAAAGTCCTACATGGATTTAAAGAGAAAGGAAATTAAATTTTCAAGTAGGTGATAAAGTGTTTCTCAAAGTCTCACCTTGGAAGAAGATTTTCCATTTTGGATGCAAAGAAAAGTTCAGTTCTAGATTCATTTAACTTTATGTGATCTTAAATGGAGTTGGACCAGTAGCCTATCAGCTAGCGTTGTTACTAAAAATGGAACATAATTATAATGTCTTTCATGTTTCGAGGCTCAAGAGATAGCGATCAAATCTTTCTCACATCTTAGCACTGAAAAAAATAGAAGTTTAATCTGACCT